TGTCCTCACCAGTGAAAGCCCGGCAGTGGGCAGGTATCCCAGAGTGGAAAATCCGTTTCAGACTACTGACAACGTGGGAGTCAGCTCCAGCATTGGTCAGAGCTTCAAGGGTCGCAGTATGGTTCCTGTGGGCAGCAACATGCGGCCCACCAATCCACCGGACCAGATCAGCTACACTTCCATCGAAGTACAACAGGGCGGCAGTGGCCATCTTGACACGGTTGAGGTTCAACTCGGTCTCCGTTTCCCAGCCAGCTGGGTATCCACGGATTCCACGGAAACCGGTAGTCCAAAGCTCAGACAGGAGCTCTTTGAGAACAAGGGCAGGGTAGTAGGCGGTGCAAAATGCTAGCCAGTCATTGGATCCAATCGGGAGGAATCCAGTCTTCGCCAGTGGGAGCAGAACATGTCGCAGGGCAGGAGTAGAATACAGAAACTGGGACAGATTGTCCTTACCGAATGGTTGGTCAAGCAACTTTGGCCAGCACCGCAGGGTGTCGTTTGGCCAGTTGACCACGGAAGCGTCGCTGGACGGACTGCGTGAAGACTTCCTTCAGCGTAATGTCCTCAGGATCAATCACTTTGGATTGAGTCGGGTACCATTCTTGGGCGGGTCGAATGGCCATGCCATTTCCAATATCAGCGTCTGGTACATCGTCAGCGGGCACAGATCTGGGACCAGGCTTGGGCAACTACCGCGAGAGCGCATCGACAGCGTCATTAGAGGAACCTGTAGAGTCTGACAAAGTAGTCCGCGGCCCCAGGCCAGGTCCACTCATAGTCAACTTAGAGCTACGAAGTGTCCGGTCTGGGACGCACAAGGAAGAAGAGGTGACTGAAAGCCAAGGGAACTTATTACTTAGTGGGAGATAGTAAACCTCATGGACCGCCATTATAGGGCAGGAAATCATGAGGGTACAAGGGGCAGAGGAGCACATGCTTAAGTCTCACCAGCAGGCATTTTACCAGGGGCCCAGGCAAGTCCAGCCTGGGCCTTGACAAACGATATGAGCTTAGCCCGATTGTTTCTGTAAGGAGTTCGATGTTGGCGATATGAGGCATCTTGCAGTCGTTGCCATTGGCACAGTAGAAACCTTGAGTCAAGAACTTCATGCACAACCGTTCAGGGGTTTTGGAGCCACGCTTCTTGGCTCGGGCGGTAACAGTGGGAAGACGACTAGTCCCAGCGACAGTGGAGTCAAAAGTAAGTATACCAAGGGTTTTCTTTCGATCGTTCTCAGCCGGATCGTCCACCCTCTGGCGCTTAGCAGGTGCTGTGTCACCAGGACGATCACCACTTCGTGCAGGGGGAGCTGCAGGAGGACGGGCGGCTGCAGGAGGACGGCCGGCATGGGTTCCAATGAATTTGAACCAAGAGGCACAGGTAGGTGTGCCTTCAAACTTTCCCAAACCGCTCCCATTCAGGATGGCTTGGAGGTCATGGATATGGGAATCAGCAGTGGCTATTGCGCCACGGAAATCACTGTACTGGACTCCCGTTCCTGCAATCACTCCTGCGTACAAAGTGGCATTGGTTGCGGGCCTAAGGAAAGCCCCAAGGATTGATTGGAGTTCTTGCCACGGGTGAATGGCAAGGTACGGATGGTTTCGGTACACATCCCATAGGTCTTTCCCAGAAGCGTCCATCAATAGGTTGACGTATTCCGCCATCTTGACAATAACAATGGGCGTCGTTAAGTCAGTAATCATGACTGCAAAAAGGAGCCGGAGATTGCAGAATGCTTCGTACACATGACGGAAGTGCTGCAGAGCACACCCGGAGTACAGCTGACTGTTCTTTGTGGCTTCAATCTGCGCAGTGCTGTAGGTCGAATTGGCCATGAGAATCGTCCGGGCTTGGTGGTCACCGTCAGCAACGACAGACAGTGCGTCGCGTTCGGGGGTCAAGAAATGGATAAGGCATAGGTTCGATTGGGCTGTTGTAAATGAAGCAGACAGGAGCCGAACGGACAGCCAGGAGAAAGTCCTGATCCTGTCACTGAATGCCAACGTGATATTCTCAGGGCGGAAAGTGACGCTGGAGTCTACCGCTCGGTCGCTTGCATTGGACAGGACCAACCGGGCTTTGACCAACTCTCGAAGATCATCACCGGCAGTGGAACTGGATCCCATGGATAAGTAAGCACTGAACTCTTCCCGTAGATCCGGGAGCACCATGGCGGCAGTGTCATCAGTGTCACCAATGGGCAATCCTGCAAGAAGGATTCGGAGACGGGCAGCAGTCCGTTCAGCAGAGCCAAATGCCTTGTCTCGTTTGATAAGGGGTTCAACAACGGCCTTGATCTGGTCGGCACTTAGACCACCTCCAACAACAGGAGGAATCTCGTTGGGCAGGGGCTCCAGAGTAGATCCAATGTCGACCCAGGCAGTGGTGGACCAGGTAGCAAACCTAGTGCGAGCTGGTCCATAGAGGGGGCTGTCAGGAAGGACAGGCACAGGAGCAGCAAGGACCCGGGGCCGTACGGCCAGTTGGGCAATAGGGTTTACGGCAGCGGTTTGTAACCCAGGGAGGTGGAACAACGTTCCACCGGTGGTGACGGACATCCACCCGTTCATGGCGCGAAGGTACTGCATTCCTTCCCTCCAAACATGGAACAGGCGGTAAGTGTCACGGTACGAATGGTTGTTCTGGAGATCCGAGCGGTGATCAAACGTGAAACCAGGCTCAAGAGGCTGGAACACCGGCAAAGCCGCAATCCTTGGTAGGTCATCATCGCCAGGTTCGTCTGGAAGGCCAGGGAAGTTGAGGCGCCCAAGGGTAGCTTCCACAGGGACTGGGAGTTCCTGGCGGTTGCGCCTAGGAGGAGGGACTCCAGCAGGAGGAGCAACCGGTGGTCCAGCTACAGTGTCAGGGGAGATGGGGTGCACTCCCAAGCGGAAATGCGCGGCATCACCAGCACGGACAAAAGTGGTAACAAAACCAAAGAACTCATCAACCGGGAGGGAAACAGCGAAGGGCTCACCAATGGTGTCGGTAAAATCCCCAACAACAACGGGGTCTCCATTGTCAAGGGTGATGATCACGGGACAGGTGAGGATTCCAACCTTGGCATTCCAGACGCAAGCAAACTGGGAAGCATTGTTGGGATCCCCAAGCACCTGCTGGCGATGGTTGTTGTTCATCCCAGGCTGGAAGGGTACGACGGAGGAGAGCCGAAGCAGTTTCATCGGTTCCTCGGGCATGGGAGAACGTTTGGACGGGTCCATTCTTTCCGCGACGGAGAGAGAGCTGACGAGCAGACATGCCAAGCAAAGGCTAGCGATGGTTGACAGGAAGCAAGGGCGGGTTTTGGACTCAGTAAGGAATCGACTTGTGAGTTCAATCTGACCTTGGGGCTCAGGAAATCCCGAAGCGAAATATTGATCCCCACGGCCAATACAGGCCGAGCTAAGCCAACGACCGGCCACATATGGCGGACGCACGGCAAACTAGGACAGTCCCTGCATCAGCAACAGTAAATGGGATGCTGTTGACGGACGACAGGTAGAGGCTAGGCAACCAGAACGTATATCCCTTAGTGTTGTCTTAGATGTTCAAATATGCAAAACGGCCACCTATGCCAGAAATTGGAGGGCCGAGGGGAGTCGCCTCGCGCGGCTCTCCGGGCGACGAATGCACGACTGGGAATTAGAGGGCGTCTCCGTATTAAATCCAAGGGTCCCCCCAGATGGACGAAATTCCGTGTGACGCACGCGAGAGGTGCGTATGAACCTCCACGGGTAACCATGTGGTGTGAACCTCCACGGGTAACCATGTGGTATGGTGGCAAGAAAACATCCACCATGGCGGGGGACAGGAGAAATACGCCTACGACGGCCATCATGGCACGTCTAACTGCTACTGCTAAGATAACTAAATAATAGTAAAGCCCAAAGGGCATGTTCCTTACGACCGTGATCGGTCCTTGCGGCTCTTAAGAGCAATCGACAAGAGGAGCAGGGAGGCGATCAAACGGCGCCTATGGGTCCAAGAAGGACGGGATCACCTGTGGTCTTAGACACACAGGGTCCGGTGAAACTCCTACACCAGCGCCTGACTATGCAGGACACTAGGCAGAAGGCACCATAAGAGAAAGGGACCATGGACGGCAAAAAGCAAAATTCCATGGTCCAAAAGCATGTTGGTGGCATCCAGCAATCAGGAAACCAAAACAGTGAGCTGCTTTGGGTTGATTGCTGGCTCCTTCAGCCACATACAGGGTGGCGGGCCAGACTGGTCACTCCAGCAGACATTATGCCCTGCTGGCTTGGAGTCTTGGCTTCAAGTACCTACAGTTGTATGCGTGAGGATTGGCCATTAGCTCTGCGGCCTAAAAAAAAAGTGCATCAAAATCGTCGCTCACAGCAAAAATCTCTCTAAGACAAAACAAGAGGTCCCTCCGGGTGTGCCAACCCACGATTGTATTTTTTATGAGGGTTTCTAAAGAGTAGTCTAGCAGGTCTATAGTTACTTGATGATGGTCAGGGTAGGTAGATAATCAGTTGTATTGTGATGGGTAGGTGTGCCCGATTGACCAATTCTCCGCACAGGTGCAAGGATTGAAGATTTGATTCGATTTGAATACTAGCTAGTAGTCGTAGTAAAGAAATCTCCCAACTAACCTGTTGACATCCTAGATCTGACTGCCATCCTGCAGCTTGAAGAACAAAGGAGGAGTGGCTTTAATTGAAACATCCACATAGGCTAACCTTGTACCGTACCAGTCGTTCAATGGAGGACCTGGCCAAATCCACCAAGTCCTGGTCGACCAAGGAAAACCATGCACCAAGTCTCGTGGACCAAGGAAACCCACCAAGTCCTCGTCGACCAAGGAAACCATGTGCACCAAGTCCTCGTCGACCGACTTGTGTATACAGGAAAGTGGGTGCTAACACAGGAATCACCACCAAAACACTAGGAAATAACAAGGAGGGATGAATCCAGTACATGTAGCAGTGCTAATGTGTTGTATCCTGGATCCTACATAGGGCTCTACAGGGCTGGTATACTGCTATTGTACAACAGGACTTGGAAGACTTGCTTTCAAGCTGTCAGCTCTGACGACCAAAGGTGGCTTCTTGTTGGCGACCAAAATGGGCATGGTTGTCACGTCGTTGTAATGGGAATTGGGCGTATCCGCAGCAAAAAAGCATCATTGTAGTGCAGTAGGGGTCGATGGCCAAAGAAGAAATATGTGTAGATGAGGAAGATCGGCTGGCACGGTCGCATTCTGAGGGAGAGACGATTAGCTCACAGACGTTGGTAGAAGGGCAGATAATTCGCCAATGTTCGCGGCTCTTGTTGTTGTTGTTGTTGTTGTTGTGTGTGTTTGTGTTGTTGTGTTGTTTGTTGTTGGTTGTTGTTGTTGTTGTTGTTGTTGTTGTTGTGTTGTTGTTGTTGTGTTGTTGTTGTTGTTGTTGTAGAGACCAGAGGTTGCTTTCAGTTGTCGACAATGGTGTCACTGTAGGCATTGTTGGTAAGATCGAGGACGAGCCCCTTCTCTGAGGCATCAGTATTCAAAGCTGGGCTGTTGTAGGAGGCACCGATGTAGGAGTTAGTGATCAAAGGTGTCTCCTCGTAGGCAATGGTGGCACGCTTGATTGGCTTTGAAGGATGAGTAGTAGTAGCGTGAACGAGACCGGAATCGTTGTTACAGTGGTTTCGAAGTGTGAAGCTAGGCTTTTACCGGTGCTGTCATGCGGGTTCAGTGGAAAATATTTGTCCTGTTTCCATGGTCGGTAGTGCCAGCTTTGGCGTAGAAAAAGTTGTTGCTGGCTCCTGCAATATCAAAGGTGAGGTAGTAATTGTTGGCAACAAGGTCAAACATGGGCTTCAACAGTTAAAAGTGGGTTGTAGTAAGTGACAGCAGCAAGCACAAGTGTCAGCTGTCCTGCATAGGCATCCAAAGATGGCTCGTAGTTGTTGGCTATAGCAACGATGGTTTGCCATTGTTCTGGGCGGAATTCGCTTCAGCCACTGTAGCAAACACCGGTGGACTATGGACTCTCCGGAGAAGCCAGTGGCATTGACAGTGCAAGTTGTTGTGACAGGCATGAGATTACCAGGATCTCCCCTTGTTCTTATGGCATCTTCAAAAGGGTGGACAAACTCTGCAAATGGCATACCGGACATACAGATGGTAAGTGAGGGCAGCTGAAGGTACTGCTGGTGGTAGTAGGCAACCTTATTTGGCTAGTGGTGGTGGTGCTATTGTCGTCCAATTTTAAGTGTTTCGCCATAAGTATCATTGGGAACCAAAATGGGCTCCGTAGAGGCGTCAGCAAAGGCCAAACTGCGCTTTGGAGGGCGAGCAGTAGCGTGGACAGAATCAAAATAGCTGATGTTGCGTGCCACAGAGTCGTTGCTGAAGCTGTTGGACGTGAGCTGCGGAGGAAATGGTTCTGTTGGGCTTGAGCTTGTCAGGATCTACCTTGTCCGTAAGACATCTTCTGCAGTAGAAAGCATATGAGATGCATAGATGCAAGTATGGAGAGCTGAGGATAGTGCTGGTTATTGTCGGTAGCAGTAAGAATGAATGAGGAGGTGGAATTGTCGGCTGTCCATGCTCATTGGCCAGTGAAGTGGCGTTGTTGTGTCCAATGCTGTTGCCAGCCATTGCAGCAGTTTTTGGCATTGGCGACAATCTAAGGTAATATTTTATTGAGGAAGATTGTCGACTTTCCACGAAAGTGAACTGGCTCGTTGATGCAGTCGGCAATCAAATGGTTGTCGACATAGGCGGTGGAAAGCAGCAATTTTGGTCTTGCTGTTCGCTGTGGTCGACCGATGGTGAGTCGGCGCTGGAAGGCAATTGATTGGGGGAAGGTTGTCGGGTTTCCCCTGTTGTCTTCGGTTGCGACATGGCTGACCATCATTGGAGGGTCATCATTGTTGTGAACAAGAAGTTGTCGGGTTTTTCGCATCCATTGTAGTTGCTTGCTGACTCGAAGCATGATTTGGTAATATTAGTAGGAATCACAACCAAAGCACAACCTGATAGGAGGATCCACTCTCTTGCGTGTTGTCGCCGGTTGACAACTGTTGCTATGGATGCCATACCTGGTACGCTGTACTAGCACCTGTTGCTTCTGCAAGAAGCGTCAATTTGCTGGCTAACGGCTGCGTCAGTAGAATTAGACAGTTGTCGACTTTTCCTCGTCGTCGTTGTTAGCCAAAGGTGGCTCTGTGGCGATGGTTCTTGGTTTTCCACGGTCATCGTCTGCAACCAAAAGTGGTGGTTTGTAGACTGTCTTCTTGCCCTTGTTGAAGGGCAAGGGCGTCGCAACAATCCAAAGTGGCTCTAGCATGGTGGGGTTCACAGCACCGTAACGAGAACTGGGTTTGGACTCCTCGTCAACAGTCAGACCAAAAGAATTGTTGCTGTGATTGTCGGCTGCTAGCTAAGGCTGGCGTTAGCAAGCGGAAATCTATTGTTGATTCCGTTGGCTCCTTGCTTCATGTTGGTGGTAGGCTCTTCGGAACCAGTCTTGTTGTTGTGTTTGCAGCCTCGGCGGAAAACTTTGGCTTTATTCAAGTGGATTTCACATCACCGTATCTGCCGTGGAGCAATTTGTTGCCCTTGCCGTTGCTACCAAAATGGGCTGGTCGGAACCTTTCTTGTTGTTGGCAGTCAAAGGGTGTCGTTGTACATTGCTGAGCGAACTCACATTGTTGCCGTAGCCGTTGTAGGATAATTTGTCGGGGTTTCCAGCAGATGGCTGGTTCCGGCGCCGGGGGAATGATTGTTGGCTGTTGCGCGTGGAATTCAAATGCTTTCTGTTATTGTCGCTCGTATAGTCCGGGACCAGAGATGGCTCCTCATATGTGTCGGCCGCGACGCGGTTGATTGTGGTTTTCACTGATATGAGCACGCAATCAGCAACCGAATATTGTAGTGTAGGTACCGGTATCAGACTTGGTCAGATGGGTAGTTTGAGGGAGGAAGTGCTGTTGCTGGCACAAACTATAGTAGTGATACCGGTACCTAGAAACCAATTAAACGCATCTACTCAACAAGAAATGCCGTGACGGCAGCGAGGCTTCTCCTTCTGATCAGAGATTGACCACTGCAAGACCAACTTCCCTAGGTGCGGATGAAACCTGCACCCAGTGGGAAATTTCGTACAACACTTCGGTCGCGCTCCTCTCAGAAGAAATGGTATGATGTGAGCCTCTTGTTCCTGATGTTGCCACTTGCTTGCCGGTGAGATGGTCGATGCCGCTTGCTCTTGTCACTTCCTTGCCTCTTGATCTTGCTATTAAGAACTCGGTCCGGCTTGGATTGAATTCAATGAGGCAGAGAAATCAGTGCTTGTAATAGTAGTAGTAGTAGCAGTACACGTATTAGCAGTAGTAGCGATCTGTTCGATCGACAGAGGGTGCCGACCATTGTGTTGGCGTTTGTTGCAGTACTGTACCAGCACGTAGATGCATGCATGGGGAGGCAGATCTTGGAGGAGCTTCTCTCCTCAGCTTGACACCCATTTTACAATTATGTGTAGAACCTGGTAGAAATGCTACCTGGAAAAATGTTCAACCACTGGCCGCCGTGTTGGACCAAAATTCTGACAGACCAACCCCAGAGCAAAAGATGGGTTGGCGATTGCGGGGCAATTGCCATCTCAGCTCTTATGCTCCACAAACAAGTTCTCTTCCATAGCAACCAAGGCATGGCTCTCTTCTAAACTAAACTACCATGGAAGACTTCTGCAGCTGAAGGTTGGAGCAGCAGGAGATGATTACAGTCAGAGAGAGCCAATCGCTGAATTAACTCCACTTGATTTGCCTCTTCTTTCTGCCATTTCGAACCATGAGCGTCTGTGCCACAAACAAGGTCTCTTCCATAGTAACCAAGCCAGGGATCTCTTCTCTACTACCATAGAAGACATCTGCAGCTGAAGGTTGGAGCAGCAGGGGCGGATTACAGCCAGAGAAACCCCATGGCTGAAGTAGTGTTTTCTGGTACTGCAACCATGCCACCCCAATCATCGTTCGACGGTCTGTGCTGGCCAAGGAAGTACTAGCGACAAGTTGACAGAAGCAGCGATTGACAGTCGACGGAAGGAGTTGCCAGTGTACAGGAACAAGATTATCAAGCCCCAATAGGAAAGTGAAAATTGAAGGTTTGACAAACACAGAAAAGCAGCTCCACACTGGCACCTCTACCTGTACGGCTATAATCGATCGACCAGGCCGACACCATGTACGAGCGGTAGGTTCAAAGCCGCTAGCAGGAATGTTTATAGCTGTGTCTATGCTCTCTTTTCCAGCAAGAACAAGCCGCATCAGTCTGTTATTCGTGGAGATTCATCCATCAGCAGTTAGGAGTGAATTTTGAGGAATATTCCGTACTGAGTGTGGGTCATGGGAACAGGTGCTCTGTGAGAGTTCTTACCGGTAGCCTCACTTGAATTGATATTCTCTACGGAAGCCAGCGAGGGCTAGGCTTAAGCAATAGAATGATTGAATTGCTTTCCTCTTTATCAGAAGAACAAAAGTGGATTGGAACCAACCAGCATGATTCTCCCTCGGGAGTACTTCTGCGAAGGCTCCCACCACTGAAGAAGCCATTTACAAGGCAGGAGATAGGAAGAATTGAAGTTCACGTGTGCAAGCTGTGCTACTTGCATAGATCTCTCCTCTACCAGCTTCTTTTGATAGCTCTGAAGTGAGCTCCCGCAGAAGCACCTCTCCCATGAGAATGCTGCATAAAATTAGGGGAAACTAATGGTTGCCGCACTGGAAATAGTATTGTTGCTGAAGTAGTGTCGATTCGATCAAGCTATCTTTTCCCTTTTCTGTTGGCAACTTGTTGTTGAAAGATCCCAATGGTTTGTGCATGTCCCCTCTTGATTGTACTATGTACTATTGTAGCGGTTTAGAAGCATTTGTGGAGGAGAAATAGAAACAAGGAGCAAACGTCCATCGTTTCGATCGCAATCAAACCAAATTTTAGACGGAATTCATGCTGTTGAATCCACACCTTGTAGCAGCAATGGCCGTAGCATGCTGGAGTTCAAAAACTTCCACAAGATCCTGCCCATACCCATGCTTCCGTCATCTCCTCTTGTTTTGGTCTCCTCGTCTCTCGACCATGCTTCGGTCGACTTGTCGCTCAATGCTTCGGTTGAATGTCACCCGTTGCTTCATGCTTCTGTTGACTCGTTGCTGGAAATAATTTCCAGTGCTTCCCCTTGGAACAACGATTGGGGTGGCATGGTTGCAGTACCAGAAAATACTGTTTCAGCTTTTGACTCTCTCTGGCTGTAATTGGCCCCCAATGCTTCATTCTTCAGTGCCAACTGTTCCTAGTAGTAGTAGAGAAGAGATCCTTTGCTTGATTGCCTTGGCAGAGACCTTGTCTGTGGCACAAACCAGCCCCAGCTGAAATGGCAAAGAAGAAGAGGTGAATCAAATGTAGTCTATTTCAGCTTTTGACTCTCTCTAGCTGTAATCAATCCCTGCTGCTCCA